GCTTCTATGATTATATTATTTAAACCATTTTTGCTATTCATCTGTATTAACCCAAAGTTATTTTGACAAAATATGTCTGCAAATGTCATTATAGTCTTTGCTTCCCCATATTATTAGATGTTCCAGTAAAAGCTTATTAAAGTGTTTATCAGTGCATTGGTTCTGGCTGAGTGTGATTCGTACTAGAAAGTAACCATTATTTTTATTTTTGTAAATATACAAATACTTTATAATAGAAATATAGAACAAAATATAGGAATATTTTATATATTGTCTTTAGTTGCATAATTGATATCTTTGCACATCCTTTTTGTGATGGAAAAGAGTGTGAAAAATTATCTTATCTGGGTATAGTGATCATATAATAAGTACTGTTCACAAGGGATGATTTAGGTTAAGACCAACAATAATTGCCTGGGCGAAGCCCAGACTACTGGGGGTAATAGTTGCACTTTCCTGTCCGATTTTTTTAAAAATTCCCACATTAGATTTTGATGATTTTGGTGTCAAAATGCTTAGTAGAACTCTGGCATGTGAATAATTACTTTTTGAAAAATATAATTAACTCTGAAAAAAGATATTCAAAAAAACAAGTGTTGACTTTTGTCTCTTTGATGTTTAATAACAAAAAAGTATTTTGACATTTTTGGGTGTTGTGTTTTGGAATATAAAGTCACACAGTTGCTTGATATTTTTCCAGAGTTTGGTGAATTTTGGTCAAATTATGGAAAAGTTATCCGAGTTCTAAGAAAAAGGGACCAGATTTATGTCCCTCATTCTCATTAGATGGTGCCACATTACCCAACTCTCTGATTGTCTCTACTGTAACTGCATGTTCAGGTCTGTATTGATTTAAAGGAAATGTTATTTCTTTTTGTCAACATGTCAGCAGTTACGTTCAACTCCTTCCTCTCATTCCATTGGAAATTTTCAACTTTTATGTAACTATTTCAAATATATATTTTTAGTCGTGTCAGACAACTCATTGATGTTATGTTTCAGGTGCAATTCCTTCAGTCCAGATTGGACAAAATTCAAATGTGAAGATTTCAGGATTAAGTAGAAACAACAAGTTTTTAATTTTTATAAGTTTTGCCAATTTAGAATAAATTTGCTTCCTGGACAAATGCTTTTTTTTTTTTTCATATTTATTTCCCACCTGATAGCGAACTACTTCTTAACCTGTCCTTCGTTGATCCCGAAAATATTCAGGTTGACCTCATTGACCTGCGTGGGTGATCCCAAATATTTCCGTGTTTACATTGAAATGTTTTTGATACTAGATGTCGCTTCATGTCACAATTTTTATATTAAAACGAGCTTTTAAAATAAAATTTTTTTCATTTTTATATTATTCAATATAAATATATATATATATTGTTTGTGAAACATAAAAAAATAATTTTTTATGATACAGTTAACACGATTATTATTTTAAAAAAAAAATATGCTTAACATCGATGAAAATTCAACATGGTGTCACAGGCAACAAATAAAAATTTCAACATTGAATAGGTTAAGAAGGTGAAGCTGATGTGCTTAAACAGGGCCATTTGTTTGTCCAGGAATCAAGTTTATTCTAAATTGGCAAAACTTATAGAAATTGAAATCTCAAATGCAGCTTCTTTTAACCAGCAACTTCAATTTAACCAAAACTTTTTTGCTTAAATGCAAACTGATTTTATTTTATTATTCCTTTATTTCTTATTTTTTTGTTTAGTTTACTTTATTTATTTACTTTACTTTAGTGTAATTTAATTTCTTTATTACACTTTTATTTTTATCTGAACTTTTCATCATTTTTTTTTCCTCAACAATAAATCACTTATAATCTTTCATTTATGACATATTATTGCTCAGACTGATTGCCCAGGCTAATTACATCAATAAACATTATCTCGAGTTTCTCAGTGTTACCTATCTAGTTATCCTGCTAATTGACTTGCGTTGTAACTATTGATTTTCTGTTTGACTGATGTGAGATTTTTAACCTATCCTTTTTTACAGATTGAATTTCACAAAATTAAATTATTTTAAGTTTTTCGATTTAATGGCCAATCCAAATTTTGGTAGTAAGTCCAGGAAATAAGATGACACATTAACATTATCCAGTGGGAAAATCTCAAAAAGATAGATGATGATGTATGGAAGGATATTAGGCCTAAGTAAGAGACAGAATTAAAGAATAAAATAAGGTGTTATGTTAATTACTAATTTTGGATCCTTGCAATAGAAACATTGAATCACAATTTTGATTCCTTTTTTGCAGAGGAAATTATCAAACTCTCAATCCCCGACATCCGTAAGGTTACAAATGGCACAGCATACCTATGTTGAAGTGGGAACGGGCTCTCTTGCCAATTATATATTCATATATTGTAATTAATAACAAAGCAGATGTGCTATTTTAGCAATTTTAAATTGCACCATTGAACTTCTTTTGAAAAGCTATGTCAATTTGATCCCCTTGAGCCATGTACACAATTTGCCTTCAATTTCTATAGCAGACAAACAGAGACACACATTCAGCTATATATATACAGTAAGACCATGCTTAATGCAGATGTGTTCCTAGATGACAAAACACTAAACGAAACAGCGTTAAACAAAGTCATTTTAACATAGAATAAATAGGGAAAGGGGAACAGGCAACCAAAAATAAACAAATTTTACCTTAATTTTAAGTTATATAATTTTGCAAATCAATATAAAAATATGTTAAATAACACATAAACAAATGCACACAGAAATGTAAAGTTGATTTTTTGTGACAAAGGTTTCGACTTTTCTGAAATTCTGTGTGTTTTTGCAATAGTCGTGAAGTTTCATTTGTCACTTTTTCTTTCCTTAAACAAATGTCAGTAGCAGAAGATTGCATCCAAAATGCCTCGTTTTGCTTTTGCACTCCTTTCAAAATCTGGATCATTCGCTATAATTTGATCAACAATTTTGGTTATCGTTACCAAAGTTTTACTAAGCACAACCACTGAACCAATTTACGGTGTGGAACGATCGGCTAATCATAAAAAAACAAATGTTTTCGAACCCCTTCTGGGATCTTCATCAGGTTTTAGCTCGTAAATTCAATTGACGTATGTTGTTCAAATAACTTCGTTCCTGTGATCGAATAGTTCTTTTAAAATTATATGTCGCGCATGCCGTTCGATCGAGAACTATTCGATCGCAGGAACAAAGTTATTTGAACAACATTCGTTAATCGAATTTACGAGCTAAAACCTGATGAAGAGCCCAGAAGGGGTTCGAAAACGTTTGTTTTTTATGATTAGTGGATTGTTTCACACCGTAAATTGGTTCAGTGGTTGTGTTTGATATATAGGTGTGGTGAGTAGTGAGTTTTTTACTAAGGAAATCTGTAGAGAAATTTTTTGGGTTCTTCGTTTTCAGAATCACTATTTCCAGTTCTACATGAATTCCTTGTTCTGCCAGTTCTTGAAAGTCATCGTTGGTAATACTCTCACCAGAAACCTGCGGTAACTCCTCAATATCCTGCTCGTCTACATCTCCTAGTCCTGATGTATCAGCGATAAGCTTTTCTCGTTGAGAATTCTTTAATACCTTTAGCCATAACTTAACTTCTTCCACACTTCTTCGTGCATTTATTGGTTAATTCTTGCTAAGCAAAGCCAATATTGCCTATGGCATCCATGATGTTATATTTTTTCTTAAATTGCGCCAAATAAACATAGATTTAAAGAAAGTACACCTTTTTGCCGCCTTTTTCTGATTGGTTCGTGTTCATAAATAATCTTATTATATACGAATCAATGAAATGCCACGATAATTTAAATTGATGTAAATTTTGAGCTTTTTTTAGGCTTCGAGCAGACCGTGTTATAACGAATCAGCATTAAGCAGGGTCTTACTATATATAAGAACTGTGTTAGTTTTGTTTAACTCTGTAATTTCTTAAAATGTTTTATTTCTATGTACCTGGTGACGAAATTGTTTTTGGCCTTTCAGGTCACAATTTGTATAGCAAAACAAGTCAAACAACTCTTCTTTTGGCAAATTTCATGTTTAAAGAGTTAATGATAATTAATAAATTAAATGTTGATTAGCCAGTGATATTGTTTGGCAAAAAGCAGATAAAACAATCCTTGGATACTGAACATTTTCAACGTATCTTTGAAGCATGACAATTATAAGTCATATTTAGAACTGCTTCTCTAATGTAACACTTTTCCTTTTTTTTTATTTGCAGTAATAAAAACATAATATAATATTGTATAAAACATTAAAACACGAGGCTGTTAAAATGTAAAATTCTGGCCAGTGCTATCAAGTTCTGTTTTAGATAGATTTTTATTACATATACAGGGTCTTCCACAAGAATTTAACCCAGTTTAAATACCTGAGAATATTGTAATGTGCATTAAAACATTGGATAACTGTCTAAATTTCACATTTGTTTATCGTATTTTCTCAATACAAGCACTTCATGTCATACTGTACAAATTAACTGATACTCAAAGTTTTCCTGCATTCTCTACAGCATATCCGTTGTCACTCCTCCACGGCAGCCACAATTTTACAGTCCCTGCAAATTGCTCGTGTTGCATAATGACAGGTGATTCCGATTGGGAATTGAACAACAAAAATGCCTTCTCTGTCATGGAGTTGCCATTTTCGTTTTCAACCTTATTAGTACCTACTGTAGAGATAGTAGACAATGAGACCTTTGAATGTAGATGGGAGGTGAAACTCAGATGGATACTCTATTGATTTGATGTACATTGCATACTTCTCAGATAGTAATTAACATACTTACAGTAATTTAAATTGATAGCATTTATTTTGGAAGACTCTCTGTATGGAAGTAATAAAATATATAAGAAAATATTAAATATATTATTACAGAAATAAAGATGTTATGTTTCAATAAATATTTTTATTAATAAAAGTGTAAAAACAAATTAGTTATTAATTTATTTATGATATGCTTCAAATAATTAAAGTAAAAGTTTCTGGTTTTTTTCCAGATATAGTCATCCATATGAAGTAGAAATTGAACACTTTCAACCGTCAGAAGATCGATTGACACTTGTCAAACCCCAGGTTTGAAATTTTTCAAATAATTTTTAATTGCAATAGATGTTTTACTATCTAAAAATTTATATTAATTATTTTGTCATATTTTTTAGCTTCCACTTTCATTAGAAGAAACTCCTTTTGAATATGTTGATACAGTTAAAAAATTTGAAGATTTATGTAAAGAATTAAATGCAGAAAAAGAATTTGCTGTGGATTTAGAAGTAAGTATAGTGAATAGCAAATTGACAGGTTGTTAATATTTTATATATAACAGCAGATGATGAAACAAAAGTAGAAAGTACTGCAAGGAATCTGGCAGGCTTTACAATGCCATGAATTGGCGGTGCAACAGACAAGACCAACTCAGAGTGCTGTTAAATCTGACTTGTAACAACAGGAAACTCCTTTTAACTGTTGTCAAATTTTACAATTTTTAACTGTGCAGATAACTGCAACTGCAATGGCTAAGAGTTTCACACTCAAGAAAGCCACAATGTGGTTACAAATTGACTTATAAAATTCTAGTAATGGTCAAGAGTGTAGGTTATTGTGAGAAGCCTGGGGTACAGAGTAATACTCTAAACCCTTTGATCGGCATCAGGTTGGTAAAGCTTGCTCAATTGTCGCTGGATGGCTGGGATTCGAGCAACGAGGGGGTGGATATGCCAATATGAGTCTGCAATACACAAGTAAGAGTTACCATTGTAAAAATCAACAAATTTAATATAAACTAAATGAATACAAACTTGCAACAAGATTCTAGGATATTGCATTTCTGCTTATTGGCTAACAGACCGAGAGAGAGTTTACATAAATCGGGTAATTATTATACCTCTTTATGGTAGTGCTGATTGTTTCTGCAGCAAATTATTCATGGAGGCCTGGGACAACACTTCTACAATTCACAAAGTTAAAGATGTTCCTTAGGGGCTGATTGCATTTGAGTTAGTGGTCACCCATCTAAGGGGAAAGCCACCTTGTGTATGGCGAGACGAGCCAAGACTATCTATGGCTTCTGGGGATATCTGCACCAAAGGTCGGGTATGCGGCCATTATATCCCTCTCAAGTGTGGGAATTTGGTGTTCTGACTTATTATTTTGGAGTGACAACACTTTTGAATGTGTCCCCTACGGGCTGAGTAGGGCAGTGAGAATTGAACAAAATCGACTAGTAGATTTAGTATTTCTTTTGATTGTTCTGATTGTTTTCTTTTGATTGTTCCCCATGGACTTGGTTAAATGTCAAAACAAAGTGTGAGAAAGTTGACATTGTTAAAACAACTGATTGTAAAAATAAATTAAAACAACTGATTGTTTTAATGTATTTTCAATACTTTCTCAAGTTGATGAGAGGGGGAAGGGACTTATGAGAATCCATGGGCCATTTTTCTCTAATTTTTAGTGAAAAGATATGTTTTAGAAACTTTCCCTTTTATCGTATGCTTCCCACAGAGTTAAAAATGGAAGAATATTGAATGTTAACTTAACTGTCAACAAGCTCTTTTCCCTTGCATCAACCTGCGAAAATAACGAAAATATGTTAAAACAATCTATTGTAGTAAAGTATGAGAAAATTGACACTTAACTTAGTCCATAGGGGAAATCTAAAAACAATCAAAGGAAATACTAAACCTTTGATATAATGGCCAGACATCCATTCATCAGAGACAATTGTTCTACAGGGAGCTAACTTTCTACTTTGTATTGTCTCCTCCAATGTGAGCAAGTTTCTATGGATTTATCTCTAACTTTGCAAAGGGAGTACATGGAATCCAAGCGCCTCTCCCCAGTTAATTAGCCTACAGGGTTACATCCCCTGCTGCACAGAGATGATATATGACTGATCTTGTGTATGCTCTCTCTCTCAGGCAGAAATAGTTATTGGTAGGCATAATGCTCACTTGATAGAAAAAATGCTCTCTAGTGATTTGTATTAGATTGAGAGAACTGTATTCCTTGCGTCTGGATTTATGTTTGTAACCTTTAGCTTTATTAAACTTGTTGAATTTTAAAATAGCTGCTCTTACTCGTGGATTGCTGGCACCTTATTGACGACCTCGCTAATCCTTTCCACTTGATTTATAGTCCTTCTATTTTGATACAGCCATCCAGTGACTTGAGCGAGTTTTACCAACCCATTGCCAATCAAAGGGATTTAGAGTTTGATGCTCTACCCCTGGCTTCTCACAGACTGGTTGTGTGTGGTAGTCGATTGTTGACAGTTAAATTAACATTTGATCATCTCCTGTTTTTAAATTCGTGGGAAATGGATGGGAATAAAGAAAAGTTTCTTTTTGTCACAAATTATAGAAAAACAGCCCCCAGATTCTCACATTATGATCACCATTGTATGACTAGAAAAATACACCAAACAAATTACCTTAAAAGCACCTCAAACACTACTTTTAGCAGATAGTTTCTTCAGCATATAATAATTTTCAGCTTCTTAAGTAGTCCTCTTCAGCTGTAAGAACAAGTTTGATTAAATTCAAAAGATAAAATAAATTTTATCAGGTAAAAGATAGTTGAGTTTCTATACATTGAAAAAATTTTTATTTTTAAAAAGCCAACAACCAATATCATTTAATTCAGATTCAAAATGCAAGGAAACATTTCAAACAATAAAAATTCAAGATTAATGTTAAATTTCATACACAACTGAAATATTTGTTCATAGTCTGTCCACATTTCTTATATAGCATATATGCTGAGAAAAGCTTGCAAAACATTAGGAAGGTGTGACTTGTCTTTATTATTAATTTAACGCACCCTCCATTTTGCTTGTTCATAACTTTTCAGTTTCATAAGTCTTAGATTTTGATCTATCAGAGATTATTCCTAACAACCTAGCTCTGTCCCAGCAATGTAACACACCAGGTTCACTGGCAAATCAGACCGAAGCAGTTGTGTGGTTTTCTCAATATTGTAAGTACGTTCTTTCACTTTAGATGTTAGAGATCTATGTTGACATCTAATGTAGGCCAGTTAGACATTAGATTCTTCAAATGTTTAGAAACTCAACCATCTCTCACCTGAAGAAATTTATTCAGTCTTTTAAATTTAATCAAACTTGTTCTTATCCCTGAAGAGGGCCACTTAATAGGCTGAAAGCTTCAGTGCATCTTGGAAAGTGAGCCACTCATGAAGAGATTTAACATTGAGAAACTTTTTATCACCCAAACAAGTTATATGATGAGTCGGTGACAACATTAACCTTCATTAACTAGTCCAGTAGAGGACATAGAGATGATATGCATTAATTTAATGGCAACAATTTATGTGTCTGTAGTATATGATTAGCATTTAATTTTTGTATTAGAAACTTTTAATAGTATCTCATAGTATGAAGTGTGCTATTAAGTATGCTTTGTAAATACATAAAGCACAGAGAAATAACTATTGTTTGAATATATTTATAGATATAATTGTTAATTAAAGATTTTATGAATTTAAACTTATAAATATGACTGATCTGTTGTTACTTTTTATTATATAGCATCATTCTTATCGAACATTCCAAGGAATCACTTGTCTAATGCAGATATCCACAAGGAAAAAGGATTATGTAGTTGATACTATAGAATTAAGAGATCATTTACATGCACTGAATGAATCGTTTACTAATCCAAAAATTTGTAAGGTAAGCAAATGAACTGATAATTTTAACTAAATTAAAATTATAAAGTAAGATATAGAATAACCAATAAACACAAGTAGGTATCAGGAAGCAGTATTAAGAAGAGCATAGGCACTTCTTAGATAAAACTGCATTAATATCATTAACCATACTTATATTCTTTGTAAAAGTATGCTACTAGGTGTCTGAAAAATTTATTTATTTATTATACACATTAAGAAAATGTTTGTGGACAGTTGATTTTCATCCCCCTTTTAACAATTATACACTACCACGTTAAAAACTACACAAACAATTCAACAGTAATTAAGATGACACAAACGGAAATGTCCAGAGACAGTTTCCATTTGATTTCCACCCTCTGATAACAATTAACCACATGATACAATAAAATAACAAAATACAATAAAACAATATAAGATGAAATGTAAAAATAAAAATATTTACAATAACAGATATAATACGCAAAAATATTGCCTAAAATAAGAACAATATAAATCAACTCAACACCTCTAATTTTAGAGTGGCTATCTTTTATTCACAGTTTTTATATTGAATATTTAAACTTCACATAAAATATATATACATAGGCTGAACACATTTTGATACTGCAAAAATGTTTTTATACAAAATATTTTTTTAAAGCTAAAACATTGTAATGTCAAGCAAATTCACTTTGTTTGATGGTGTGCATAAATATACTGATCAAGCAAAACATTTTTCTACAAAATATCTTGTTAGTCATTTTTGACATGCACAGATTAATTGTTCAGGGGAAATTGGGATGTCTAGTTCTTTGACTGGAGATGATCAAGTGATCAGCTGTTGTAATTTCAACACTGTATCTCATAGTATCACAATGTCTTCCAACTATAAAGAATTGTTCACACTTCTGGCAATGGATGTAATTTGTCAGGAATTAATTTAAACCAGGACTGATTTAAACTTTACTTCCATTAAACAAAATAACAAACACTATGTGGTATATAAAGTGTGTCATTTCAAAGTGCACCTATCTATTTTCGCTTTATATATATATATATATATATATAAAGCAAAATGTTCATTGACAACTGTAACCATCCCTTTACAAAAAAGTGCTATAGAAAACTTGACTCTGCCTAGATGAATTATAACCAAATCAATCAAGACCGATAATTACTTTATCCACACTCTTTCTGAAATATTATGTTTCACTTGCTTTGATTTAAATTAAAATTAATTAATTTAATCAATTTTAATAAACACAATAAATTAATTAATATATTAATTATATATAGATAATATTACATTTAGGCATTTTTATGTAAGAAATACAGCTAAAAAGGCTAAAAAAACTGTTTTGGAGGTCCAGAATGGATTAATCAATATTATACTGTTTCTTATGAGAAAATTTGTTTCAGTTTGAGAACAGATCAGTTTTTGAACAATTTTTAGGAATGTGTTAGGTTTGAAAACTGAGGTTTGACTAACCTGGTCTCCAGAAAATACCAATGAACTGGAAGACTTTGCACACTGCCAAGACATCAAACTATATGTGGTGAGCAATATTGTCTTTCTGGATTGTTGGACCTTACTTTTTTGAAGACAGAGACAAAAATGCAAACACTGTTACATCAGCCCACTATGTACACATAATCAAGATGTTTTTGATGCAAGAGTTAACCAGATTTCCTAATGTTAATTGATCAGACATGGTTCCAACAAGATGGGTCAACTGCTCACACAATCAGAATATCCACGATTGCTCTAAGACACTTGTTTCCTGGTCATATCATCTCTAAGAATGGTGACATTTCTTGGCCCACGAGATCACCTGATTTGTCACCATGTCATTTTTTCTTGTGGGGATATTTGAAGAGCAAGATGTACATTAACCCCACTACATAATATTGCCAAACTCAAGTGAAGAATTAGTGAAGAAATAGCCAGAATCCCATTGGAAATGTTGCAGTCTGTAATAGTTGATACGTGTTCAAAAATAAAGGAATATCTGCTCAGAGATGGAGGTCATCTTAAAAGATGTCATTTTCAAAAAATAAAATGCTTCTTTATAACATTTAAGCTGATACATTTGTAATTTCTTAAATAAATCATTTCACTAAGTTATTAAGTTTTTATAATCTCTTGTTTCTTTGCCCCATCCTGTATATAGACAAGCATGACTTACCATATCTTTGCATGAATTACACTATTTACCACAGCAATTCTACTGATTCTGAAAATATTTAGTCTGTAGCAATTCAAAATTTTTGAAACTATTTTATATAACTATTTTGATTTATTAGAACTGGTCACTATCATTTTTTATTTTTTAGATTTAATATAATTGTAGTTTTTAAACTATTGTATTGTATAGGTCCATGGTATATAAAAAAAATTAAAATAGCAAAATATCAATAACAGATCCATATGAAAGGCTGTATTGTCAGGGAATAAATGATAAATTAAATTTGCAAGTTTAAGGTTATATGTGTACACACACATGCATGCACACACACACGCAATGTAAATAATGTTAAAATAAGTTTTAAATGTGTGCATATGGTACTTTATAGCTTTTAGTTATACATTTAAGAGGAGTGAGAATCAAATAAAATCTGTGCCTGAAATGCATTTGTACTTTATTTAAAGTGTCCTAGAATGAAGTGGGGTCTATATACAGTAGTTAGATAAATAAAAAATATGTCTAAGTTCAAATAAGTTACCAATTCCCTGAAAATACAGAATTAAAATATTTTTAAATTTCAGTCAACTGACTACTGATCAAAGTACAGTAGACCCCTATAACGCGAGTTCATATAATGCGGATTCGTATATCGAGGTGAAAAAATTGCGACTGTATTCGTATAAAGATGCTAAAAGAGACTCGTAAAATGCGGTAAAACGTCATCGCCGACTCATGTTGCGACAGGATTGGTCGAATCTGGACCAACAGTGGATGAGCAGTCGAACCACTTACATGCTACGGAGAGTTTAGGCGAGTAAGTTGAGTTTACTATCGTCTGTACAGTATATAAATTAGGTACTGTAAGTCTAATAAGTACTGTAATTTCATACATTTCTTGTGAAAAAACATTTCTTATTCAATAGCATTAAAAAATTATTTCTATTAATGATGTCTCCATTTCGCAGAAAAATAACTTATCAGAAAATGCAGCCGCCGTTTGGTGTGCTGCTCTGCGATGAAAACAAGCTTAAGCAATGGCGTGGTTGAATGGTCCACACTCGGTAAGTAATCCTACAATTTTTTGTTTATAGCATAGTTTATACAAATTATTCCCAAAATATTATGTGTGTTTTGAAAATGTTGAGTCAAATTAGTCTAGAATCGATTAATTTTATGGAAGAAAACCTTTTAAACAGCCATAGTCCGTAAACTGCACACGTGTCAGGCTGTGATTGGCTCATGTATTTAAGGATTCCTGCAACACGAAATTCTTATAAAGTGGAACGTATCTACCGTGTTATAGGGGGGATCGACTGTATATAATATACAATCTAATCATTTTCTGCTTCATCAGCCAGATGGCTGAAGTGCTTAGTGTCAACTTACTGCTCTGGGAGGACACAGGATTAAATCTAAGCAATTGAAAAGCTCCAGAAATTTTTGGGGTGGTCTTTCCCAGATATGTCAAGCTCTGTCCCTCACTACCTGCCATCCCCAATGTGGACTTGGCCAAACCTATGATGGATGATGTTATTTTTATTTTTAACTCTTTGTCCTGTGCAAACTAGGAGGGCATATAGAGCAGAAAGAGTAACAGAAAATAATTTTCTGCTTTCATTTCAAACAATAAAATACAATTCATATTTAAAATATAATATAAAAATTAATCTTTACCAAACATGGAAGGAGCCTTAACACGAAATCCTTTATTGAAAGTGTTGGAATATACCACAGTTACATCATAAATTGCATCCAAATTACTTCGAAGACCATCTAATGCCATCTGCAAGCCACGTATTCTAGGAGTTAATAAATGAGAATATGGACATAGACCTAGGAAATAATAAGTATTTTTTAAACAGGAAAATTAAATTAATTTTTTTAAATGTATTCTTAATTTTAATTTACCTTGTTCCTCTGCAAACTGTCTGCTTTTATTAAGAATTTCCACAGATGCAGGATTGAAACGAGTTCCTTCAGGAAATATAACTAACCAAGACTATAAATATTTATATAATTAATTATTTTTATTCACTTTTATGCTGCTTTTAAGACTATTAAATATTAAAATTAAAATACCAGCAATTAACGTTATGTTATTCATTTTTATGGCACAAAACTCATTCAATATAAAGGATTAATATAGAGTATAATCAATGGCATGTTATACCATAAGCAAAAAAGATGTTTGCCTAGGGCCCCCAATTCTGAGGGAACTCTCAAATAAATTTAAATTGATCTGAAGTCCCTGCATCAAAGTCAAAGAATGGTGTTTTTTGACCTTCTAAGGCTTAATTTTTTTAAAATACAGAATGTGTAATGAAATAGGCTCCAAAGTTTATTTTTTCTAAGGCCCTGAGATCCATAACACACCATTGAGTATAATTCTGCATACAATATAAAATTTATAGAATATATACAAATAAACAGAAAATTAACAAAAAAAAAAAATGTATTGGATGCTATCTAAATATTATTATAATTTTATTTTTATATTGCTTACAAATATATTTTTACAAATAAATTTATAAAGTAAAATACTATAATAAACTATTGGGTTGATACATAAGTTCATGCCATGTCAATTCTCCATTTTTCTCTTAGAAGAATTGTCAGTGTTGATGCAGCAATATATCATTTCATAATGTTATGTTCCTGTTATACATATTTGTTGTTATTGGATTCATTAAATTACAGATTTGTCTTTTACAGCTCACAAAGAATAAAGTGTCAAGTTGAGAAAAAACACTTTCAACACCTGCTTCTGTATGAGTTCAACAAAGGTATCTCCAACACTGATGCTGCCAAAAACATTTGTGCTGTATTCAGGGAAAATGTTAGGCACAGAGGCCTGAAAGTGGTTTCCTGTTTCAGAGAGAGAACTTTTTACTTCAATGACAGCATTTATAGCAGTTGCTTCTCAAACTTTGATGAAAACAGTCTGAACACAGTATTCCAAGAGAATCCCCACTAAACAAGAAAATTATCCACTGATATAAAATGTAACTGGGCAACAATAATTTAGCATCTGCAAGTTTATAGTTAAGCTGAAAGGTAAGCTGGTAGTAGGGATACCACTTAATTTCACTGATGCCAACAAAAACCAATTTTTTGCCATATGTGCCTCTTTGCTTTGACAATAATGCCATCCTTATGACCAGTGGCAACCCCTTCTTGTCTTGCATTGTCACAGGTGGTGAGAAATGGTTTTTAGGTTCTATAGGTTCTTTCTTCTCAACTTGACACTCCATTCTTTGTGACCTGTATGAAACAAACCAGCAATTTGATGAATCCAATTCATGTGTGTAACTGGAACATGATACTAAAAAAATGACTTATGCATCAATCCAATACTTCAAAAAACAAAGTAACTATTAAAAACAATACATATTTGAATAAAGTCTAATTATAAAATTTATTTACATGAATCCCTTCAATATGACATATGGAATGACTAATTCTATTACTTTCATAGTGATACACTAATAATCAAATTTTCATTTTCTCACAATTATTAAATTTTTGTTCAAGGTCTGATTTGATTCCTGAAATAATTTTTGATAATAAAAAGCTCAGATTAGATTAATTGTAAAAATTCCAAAATCATATTAGATTTTTATATTGAAATCAAGAATCATATATAAACCTTTTCTAACAATTGAGCTTTTGATTTATACCTTATAAATTTAAACAGAATTTAAATTCACAAGGCATTTGTGTGTCATAATCAAGTTTGAATGAACTACTCACAATGTTTGTGCATTAATCTCCAGCTATTTATAATGTAGGAGAGACTGGAGCTGTTCAGTACTCTTTTTTCCAAATAATTTTCTGAATTACATAATGACTTGAAAAATAAAAGTATAACAAAATTAGATATATCATTTTTTATTCTTTAAAAAATAATTATTTCAAAATTGTACTTTTTATTTAACAAAAAATATAATTGAAAATAGTNGTATCGTTAAAAATTATTTCTTTATTTTTTACAAACAAAATAAATATATTGAAAAATATAAAAACAAAAAAATATATACTTTAGAAGTTAATCTAGTATCAAAAATGTTTGATTCAGCACGACACACAGTCCTCAGAAAAACACGACACAAAAGTGCCAGTGCTGCCAGCTAAAACACACACATCAACAAAAAAAAATATTGGAGTAGCCAAAGATTGCAGCACCACAGCACTAGCGAAAATTTAAATTTGCCGACTGGAATTCTTTCGGATAAACGACGCTCTACTGTACTAAGTTGTTGCAATTGTTAATTAAACTTCAGTGCTAATTAATAATGGGGTATATATATTTGTTGGGTTGGGTAATTTAGTTTTATATATTTATTGGGTAAATATACCTTTAAACGTATTATTTTATTTAAAGCTAAAATTTAATAATATATATATTTATTGTTTAGATATGTTTTGCCCAATCATATGCTTTTCCAAATTGCCGAAGTGTTACCCAGGTACAATATTTAATGCTTTGTAACATCTATTTATAAAAGTTTATAATCATAGAGATAAAAAATTATTATTTTGTTAATAGAGAACAACAGGGTTTGATGGCATGCTGTCACCCAGTGCCGCCTTTACTCCGACAGTACTTGAACGAAGTTCATAAAATAATTCTGGAAGCTAGAGAGCTATCTTTAACACAGGTTTGAAAATTATATTTTGCTTGCATTAACAAATGATTTAATTCTTTACAACGTTTGACTATGTGATCAGTTAAGTTCAGTTTAATCCGAAAGGCAAAAAAGAAAAACTACATAAAAAAGTACCTTTATTAAAATATAATAAGGCTAATATGCTAAAGCAGCATTATAATTGCCCCACTCTTTATTCTTAAAATGATAAAAATTCCAAAGATTAATGCTAAATAAAATTATTTTCTTACATAGCCTGTATCTGAAATAACAAAGCTGTGAGGTTCTGGACAGGTCCAAACCCTCACTAAAATTCATATTTTTTTTTAAGAAAAAAAAAGCTAAAAATCATTTTCTTTTGTTTGAAAACTCAATGTGAACTTTTAAACAATAGAAGAATGTAAGTTCCAAGATAGACCATCTCTGGTTGGGATTGAGTTAAACTTTGATTTTGACCTCTCCCACGATCCAAGTTGAGATCTCATTACAGTTAGTAACAAGTGCTTGACCTCTTGGAAAGCGAAAACGAGGAAAAGTCACCAATCAGAATGGGTGATCGAGGATAGAAATGAATAAAAACCTGGGAATTCAAGAATACGGTGGCTTCTTCTTCTCCCTAAAGCACCAAGTGTTAGACCAATTGTTGCATGTGTGTCTCGTGCCCGTCTTAGTCTCCCATCCTCGGATCATCTTCACATCACTAAAAGTCAACCGCATCATCCCAGAGTCATTGAGATGTTGCGGGAACTATCTTGGAAAGGAGAGGAAGATCCAGAGGTCGCTGCCAGCTTATAAATTCCCAGATCACGGCAATCTAACCTCCTTTCATGTCAAAGGAACAGTTGCTATTAGAAACAAACTCTAAATCCACAAGCAGAAACCTCCAAAACCATCAATTTGGTATGAGTGGTGGCAGACAATGATAAACTATTGTCCAAATGGGGAATTAAGTGGTAAAGAATGAATTTTAGGTGTGGAGTTAGACTAGACTTTATTCTTTTGCTAGTCGTAAAGAATAAATTATAACATTTGTAAAATTTAGAAATATTTGAAAATCTCATTCCTATCTAACTGTTAGATCTAACTTAATACTTTCATAACTTAACAGTTAGATATAAATAATTAGAATTAACAGTTAATTTTTCTTGCATTTATTGCTCTTATAAGCTTCACAAGATCTACATAATTCAACAATAAATTTATTTGAGAACTTATTCATAGTTTTGCCACATTAAAATTGTTATTAATTTAAGTATTTAAATATAGTAGCAGTCAAAGGACTCCTTAAAGATTAAAATAATTTAAATAGATATGTGTAATATATTTAAACTGATTAGTGTATACTGTTCAAAATCAAAATCAAAATCATAACCACTATAAACACAAGTGAAAGTGAATCATAAGTTATATAAATAAATTTTAGTTTTATATCAGTGATATTTGATTATACAAGGCATACGTTTGTCAAGAGTGAGTTAAGTAAACAGCTTAAATGTATCAATGGTGTAAATTTCTAATGGGTGTATAAATTTTAAGTTTTAACATAGTAGGCTTATTTATTAACTGCAGTTCCTTTGTTTATGCAGGTTGACGTGGTGAAGTCTGACACAGTCATCTCCCTGCCCAACAACACAATTGACTTGGACAACATTCTTCACTGCCCCCACGACGTTGTGCATGAGAATGACAGCAATCTACCCACATTGCTGAGTAAGTTTTTGTTTTGAGTAACTTTCTGCTGTTGTTATTTAACAAAATCTTTATTCCAAATCCTGCTAAAGAAGCTATTAATGCTTTTATGTTTATCTGTTTTTACTTTCTGGCTGTTAAAGTAACAGATGGAAAGAACTGTAATTGGTCAAATTTCTACCTTTGGATTTTTTGTTTCCCAATGTTTTAAGGTCCTGATTTGGAAAATGTTAAAAAGTTCAGAGTGAAATTCCATGTGTGTGTCGGCCTTGTATTTTGCTTTGTCTTGGTGGTCCCAGGACCAAATATTTGAAATTGGAAAGAATACTTTTACGTGTGGATTGTTGGTGCTATTACATTTTGGAGATTATAAGTCGAGGGAGGAATGGAGGAGATCAGAGGTCGTATCTCGAGTGTGTAAGGTTGCAAACCTATTTGCTTGCTGCCTTATTAACATATTTATAATATAAATGTCTGAAAGTGAATGGCATTTAAAGGAGATAATAAACTTTTACCGTAAAGTCAATAAGTATACGTTAGATTTGTTTAGGCCATAATTATGTGGATTACTTACACTCTTACTTTTGATAAATTTAAACTGGAAATTTTTTCTACAGTGTGAAGTAAGTCACTTTATCTTTGGCACTGAGCCAAAGATAATGGTCTTCTGGGGTTTATCTTTTTGCACGGTCCATATACTGCTAAGAAATGGCATAAATGCAGTCTCTTGGCGATCAACTTTGGTGTGTGCAATTGGCTATCAAGTTGCTCAAACTTGCATAAACTTGCCGTTAATTTATCTTAAATGTTTTTATTACGAATGCTCATGTAAGACAATTATAATTAAATTTATCATTTATTTGATTAGTAAGGAGTAATGCATTAATATTTATGTTTCAGGTTGTTTGGACGAATCGACGTTTCTGCCCGAGATTCCACCCATCAGTGGAGATATTCGTCTGGTGAATTCGACCAAGTTATCCGCCACGGTGTTTGAGCGGTCTTCTGAGGTATTTTTACATCAAATAGTTAATTAAAGCCGCCAAAATAACTTCATAATTTTAAACATCCTAATTTTATTATTATAACCAAACCAAAATTTGAAATTATATTTTTTGTTCATATTTTCTCTAAGTTCCACAAAACAGAACTTTAGAAAATTACATCGATTACATTATAGAGTCACGTTTGTTATAAAATGTACAGAATGCAATTTGATGCAAGAAGTCCTTGACTTTCGGACTTAATGCATTTGCATATGTAAGAGAGTTTCGTTCACTGCAAGTTAAAAGGAAAACTATAAAATTTCCTAACATGATAGGATCATTTAATTTTTTGCAGTGAATACAATGCAATGCACCAAACATTATTTTAAATGGTAAAATTATAGATTAAACAGAAAATAGACGATAAAATTTAATTTTTGCAAACGATTTTGCCATTACTGTTCCGTGATCAAAAATGAACAAAATGGGTTAGTTATCAAATTATTATATACTAAAAAGTGAGTTCCTTGAAAGTGAAGAACTTGACCGTATTTAAAAAAAAAAATCTTTTTGCATTTTGAATGTCAAAAGACAAGAAAGAAACAAAACACAAAATGTTTCTTTTTCTTAAAATCTCGAATAGACTTTACAGTCGGATTTTAAAATTCTACCAAATATGTTTGTCGACAAAAAGTTACACATCAAGTCTGACTTGAACAAAGCATTATTAGTATGAACGTAATGCTATGGTAACAAGTGAATATGATACTGGCAAAGTGATGATTTCTTTCAAACTAACAGTATAGTTTAAAAGAATCATCGGTACCTCCAATGCTTGTGGCATTGCAGTCGGGTCAATAATTTTGTCTGGGAGCGTACTTTCTTTTGTTGGCGATCATACAAATAGGAGATATAATTAAATTCAAAATTTGGATATTTTTGTCTAATTGTTTATGATATTTACTATTTCCTCTTAGGTTAGAAACTGTGATTCCAAGTCGACTTCTCTGAATTTTATCAGCCCTTACCAGAGAGTAAGTAATTGGTTAATTTACTAATGCTGTTTTATAAATGCATTCGAATAATTTTTACAAATATTGCAATTTGTTCAAGTAAGTTCATAGAAGCCTCTTAATGTCTAATATTGTGATATTATTTAAATGACAATATCTTTAAAAATTAATTGCCAAATATTTTATTTAAGCATTTGGCTTTAATGAAATTTAAAGTTTTAAGTCAAAATAATTTCTGAAATGGCTAAGTGTGAATTTGGATGATCGACAATAGTTTGTTCTAGAAATTATTTTTAAAAAATATTTTGGGAACTCAAACTACTGTTGTTTACCAAAAATCTTTTAAACTGTCCATGTGTCGGGTGTATTTTCAATAGCATTGTTTAATCAATCTTTTGGTTATAATTGCACTTTTACCCATCGACAGGATAAACAAAATTTAACACTTGTTCTCTAAAATTTAATGTTTGTTCTTTATTCTGTCCTTATCGTTACTGTCTGAAATTTCCCCGGCATGGAATATCAAATGATTCGAGTGGAAACGACAGACAATGTACAAAAGAAATTAATAGGACGGTTGAATCGCATCTCATTTCTGGTTGCTCATAATGGATGGTAACTGTCTTCCAAGATTAGCAAAATCTTAGTTTAGAGCAGTTTTTCCTGCATACCACTTCAAGAAAGAGTGTACCCTTATGGCAGAAATTCATATTAATCCACACTAATATTATAAATTTGAAGGTAATTCTGTCTGTCTATCTGTTACCTTTTCACGTCTAAACCGCTGAACAGGTTTTAATAAAATTTGGCACAGAGATAGACTACATTTTACTGCCACGAGAAATCAATGTAATGCAAGCGAAGCTGTGGGTAGACAGCTAGTGATAAATAGAATAAGTTTTTTTACATTTATTACTTTTAAAATACATTCTAATAATGAAAATAACATAAGGTTATTTAATTTTAATGTGACAAATGTGCACGATTTTCTTTGCACAACTTTGTAAAATCTGGTTGCTTTTTGGTCAGCTTCAGTCTCGAGTCATCTTCGAGTTGAAGTCGGTGACGATGTTTAGTTTTCATGTTTGTCGTGGCCGAAAATCCGCTCTCGCAGAGGTATGTTGTGCAAAATGGTAGTAAATATTTTATTGCCGCTTATTATCATATCTGAAGCTGCTGACATGATGATAATGATAATTGTACAATTTTTGTTTCTTGCGTAAGAATTTCATTTAGATATTGTCACAAATGTTCTTTTTTATGAAATTTCGAGAATATTTTTAGTTATAAATAAACGAATTTGTGCATTTGGCATTTGTTGTAAATTGCTGAATTTTTGATCGTCCACCCATTATTTTTTTGATTGCTTCATCTCATGCATTTAAATTTTAAATCGACTGATTTTAGATTGCCGCGCATACCCCTTCATACAGTTTCGCGTACCCCTAATTGGGAACCATTTGTTTAGAGGTACGCACTTAAAGAACACAAAAATCATTTCCATAAGAAACATCTTTAAATTTGTGCTAGAATTAGAGTTTTAGAATCATGTGTGTCATGTTTTACTTTTTCGGCTGTTATAACAGAGAAAGTATGGCAATCAATCAAAAAATGATACCCCACTCCTCCCCTCAAATTTTACATTATTGGATTTTGGACTTTAGAATGTAAAGAAATGCAATAAAATTTGGGGGTTTTTTTATATATAAAGGGTGTCCACAAAATAATGCATGAATTAAATTTTTGCATCATTTTCTTCCCCATGGGTTGGCTGTCCCATATGAAGTGACAACTTGTAGTAAACACATTTCAGTTAGTTAATATGGAGTGATACAGAATGGAGGAGCATGTAATGATTATCAAAACTTATTACAAGTATGGGGAAAGTTTTGCTGCAACTGTGTGCAAATTTCGTGGCATTTTCAGTTGGAGAAACATGCCAAATGAAATGACTGTACCATGTGCAAAGAACAACTGATGCATGCCCAATAAGTGACAGTTTGTGTGGATTTTTGACCGGGGGAGTGATTGGAAAAATTTTCAGCCATATTTCTTTGAAAATGCTGTTACCATTAATGGTGTGCATTATTGCGAGACAGTGTCAAAGTTTTTGTGGCCTCATTTGGATGGCACGGATTTGAATGATGCATGGTTCTGGCAGGCTGGTGCAACCTGTTGTACGGCACACAAAGCAACCGGGTTTTGCTGTAGAAGTTTGTGGGGCAACTTGTCTCTCTCGACGACGATCGAAATTGGCCACCAAGATTGTGCAATGTTTTTATCTGGAATTTGTAAAATTTGTCACTAAAACAAGAACAATTTCTGAATTGAAAGCAGAAATTTGAAAAGTTATTGATGAAACTGAGTTGCAACTGTTCTAAACTGTAATTGAGAGTCAGAATAGTAATGGGCCCATTCGTCAGATATTTAATTGCAATGTTTACCCTTTAAAATGATGTAACAACTTTGCCAATTAATGAATAAATAATACATTATTTTTAAAATTTAAATCCTGCATTACTTTTGGGACACCCTATAGATGTTAGTGTGGGTGGCATGATTTTGTTCACCCTCTTCGAATCTTAATAACTCTTGTGTATTTTGTTGAAAATTTCTGATATTTTGCAGGGAGATTTGTGTAGTAAGGGAATCAATGCTGTTAAATTTTAGCGGTTAAAGGTTGACAGGGTGAGGAGATAAATGGAGGTCATATATCATATCTCGAGTAGAATTGTACTTAATGACGATTTTACTCGTTGGAATTTACAATTTTTTATTCAATATTCAAAAAACCCCATTTCTACTCTCAAAATTAAACTTTTTGCCGTTTTATAATAATTATAAATATAAAATAACAGATGACACCACACATGCAGTTTTAAACACTTCTGGTTAAGTTAAGCGACTCATTGCTGGATGTTTTCTTACTAGTTTGAAGAAATTAGATTATTCAGTTTATCAAATAGCAATGAGCATTATTGTATGGGTTCTTTTGCAAATCCCATGTTGGGCATGCACCACATTTAAACACACCAGAGTGGCATTGCACATGCTGGTGATCCACGATGCCTTTTGGATCATGTTAAAGTCCACATAAACTGTACTGTTTATATACTGGCAGAGATTAATGCTGTGCCAGTAGTGTCTTGTACTCCCTATAATACGAGGGGCCGAGTGAAAAGGCGGCATGTCTCACAAAAGTATAAAAAATGAGTTACTAATAAATTTGGATTTGGGCATCATTGATCCATCTTCTGATAATCTTTCACAGTTCAGTTACATGCTCCTACAAGTTTTACATCTGCTTTAATACAGTACAGCACATTAAAATGCTGATGAAACAAAACACATGTTCCTTTTTCCCAAATAACTTCTTAATGTGGGATATGCTGTTTTTCCATATATTGGTAACACCAGGATAGTGGTATGCAAAATACTTCCTCTATTTTGACGTTTTTAATAAGTAATTTTTTATGTCTTTTGTATTGTGTATTTATATTCTGATTTAATCATTAGTATTGTCTGTTTCTTTTACAGTATAAAATGGCAAAACCTGACTATCCGCCACATTCCACAAATGACCAGTCGGCAACAAAAGCACAGTCCACTTCCAATAATAAGAGGATACAAAATGTAAAATACATACATATTTTAATATTCTGTTTTATAAGTAAGCTGGGTACTGATTAGAAACAATTTTTTTTAGTTGTTTAAACATTTGGAAGACTTGCAGTCTCAAGAAGATTCCAAAGAGAAATCTCCTGCCACCATTCATGATGACGATGAATCTACTAACATTCAGGTAAACACAAAAGTTATGTACACTTTATTCTTTTCATTTCACCAAATAATATATGGAATTGTGAACATAAACTCATCATCCACTTATGCGGTAATATTTAGTAAGGCCTTAACAAGACATTCGGTCCTTTCTAGCAGAAAGAAAAATGACCTGTGGCGTTTTTGTCACTTTAGTGTGATGCAAAAATGAACAAAATGTCAAAATTACAGAAAGTTTTGCTTATGCTACAGAAATAATTAAATCGCATATCATTTTATTACGGAACTCGAGTTTTCTATATTATGTGCCATGACAACAGTTTTATATATATTTACTAGCAATGAGCCCAGCGTTGCTCAGGCAAAAAGTAACAATAGCAAAGATTAGGATTATTAGATTATAGCCATTTCACCAGGTGGAATAATTAGGTTCACCCTCTGCTGAGACTAATTACAGAATTTTTAGATGGTTCAAAAAGTATGTTTGATTTCCCACAAAAAAACTGCATCTAAAATAGTACAGTAGAAGCCAAGTTTAGAGTAATCCTTAACCTTTTCCCTCTCCTCCCATGGGGAAAGGAATTTTGGAAAACCCTTCTTAGGGTACATTCTCAAACTGTGTACCAAAATTAAACTTTCAACTCTTAACCATTTGGGCTCTTCACAATTTTCAAAAGTCTATCCTAAATCAAAAAATAATTCTCCATTATGGTCTGATACTATACCTTTTTGATTTTGGATAAATGGTCATGGCAGGACGAATTGTCTCTGACAAGACTTAAACCATTGTAAGAAAATCCAAAGACAAATTTGTTTGCCAAATGACTTACCATTTATTGTCATTATACATTCTGTAGAAAAAAGTCGAAGAAAGCAAGGAGACTATGGAACTTGTTGATGAAGAAAACAAAAGCGATTCCGAAATAGAAGTGGTGGCAGAAGTGAAAAAGGTAAGATTTTTAATCACAATGACAGGCAGTTCATTGATTGATCAGTTTTGTTATGTATTGTTTATAGTGCAGGCTCGAGATGGATGCATTTTCTTTATTTCTGATAGACTAAACCTCGTAAAACAGATTCTTTATCTATTTGGATAGCCAGAAAAAAGACAAATACATTAGTTGGTCACAGATTCAGACTATTTCTATCTTGTACAGTACATTGGTTGTTGCAGTCCTTGTTGAATATCAAAAATTGATCATGGTTGCGAAATTTTGTCCAAAAACTTGGCAGCCATCTCATCTCATCTCGTCGGCCATATTCTAACAATAATGACAAATCATTATTATATATAATTATAAATTATTATAAAATTTAACTGTCATTACTATTATTATTAAGGTATCGATTAGTATGATTAATCATATAGCTTCTTTCAGAGAGCTACAATGAATGGTTGTCCATTCCCATATGGATGGGGATTTATCATAAAGATAACAGGCTGCCAATTTGAAGTGGTCCTTGGTTTTTTTTTTTTTTCTTTCTTTTTTGTCACACTGCCACTGCAAACAATATTGGGACATGTAACAGTTGCTATATTTACAAATTTCCTCCCACTAGTTGCTTGCCGGCAGTATGGGAAGAAAGGTTTCCTTTGCAATGCTATTCCGATTGTCTCTTCTGGCATTCCAGTTAGGAGAGGATCGACCCCAATGCCTGAACACATCTTAACCAGCTGTCCTTCTTGGGAAAAATGTTAGCGAGAGTCTCTTCTCCTTTTACAAGCAATTGAAGTGTTTGCTTAATATTAGTCATGTTTCCATTACTGCTTACCTTGCTAAATACCCACCATATTAGCAAAATGATTATAAAAGTTAATTCTCATACTAGGCCCAGGAAGCCTTTTCACCAAAAAACCTTAACATCCAATTAGTGGAACTCGGTTACCACAGGCACTTGACTCGACAGAAGCCAATCTGCTTTTGTTAACCCGATGATGCAGCCTTTCTCACACATTAAAATTGCTGCTCAGCAATTTTAAAGTACTTTGATGGCATTACTGACATGCAATCATTTACATATCTGGATGATTTCAACGTTGAATAAAAACTGAAAAACACAAATATGGATTGGATGAAATTTACACTGGGTATAATTTCAATAATTATACCCAGTGTAAATTTCATCTTTACAACTTGACATAATAACTCAACAACAATTACAGTTCTGTCTTGTAGGTAATCACCATCATCATCAATTGCATCTTGCAGACTTGAGATTTTCTCCAAAGAAAGTGTTGAGCATCATTCTGCAGGGTGCAAAATAGATTATAGTTGTCCGGTACCAAATCTGGGCCATGGGGTGGAGGAGGCAGAACGTTCTAGCCCTTCTAAGGTTATCTTTGCTTTATGTGCTAGCATTAGACGGTCAATTTTTGGAGTGTATTGAAACACTCAAGTTGTCCTAATTTTCTGGTGGTCGCGGGACAACGTTGTTGATGATAGAATTGCCATCTGGATGGGGTTTGAACCAGTCCTGGCAGGTCTGCCCATTGACTGCATCCTTGCCAAATACCTCACTCACAGGCAAAATCATGACTATTTGTTGCATCGTGGCTTCATATTGTTGGACATTGCTGATGAAATGGCCCCTGGTTACTCCCCACAAAGAATATTAAATGGAAAAAATGTTCTAGAACAGAGTATAAAAATACAGATGATGCTAAAACTCTTTGGACATCCATGTTCACAATCACCAGAGACATACAATCTTCATCTATATAGATGACCTTTTTATGGAGGCTACACTTCTGCAATAATGCAAATTGATTAAAATGTCCTCTGGTGACATTGCCTTTACTAAAAAAGGCAATGTCACCGGAGGACATTTTAATCAATCTGCATTATTGCAGAAGCATAGCCTCCATAATAAGGTTATGTGACTGGTGACTGTGAAGACTGATGTCCAAAGACTTAGTACCTTCTATATTTTATTAAACACAAATTCCGTCAACCAACTCAAAATGAAGTCGTCCCTAGAAAAAACTGAAATGTTTAAATTTTACCTTTACAACTTGCCATTCATGTGATTACAAGAATCATCTGCAACTGAAACAAATTAACTCAAAGTAGGTTTGTGCATCAAAAGTTTGATGGACCAACTTGAATATTTAATTATCAAAATAACAAATATGTTACTTTAATGACTATTTCAGGGAAGGAAGAGGAAGAGGAAAAGAAACAGGACCAAAGTTCATACCAATCTCTCTCTGAATGTGGACGAAGCAGACACCAAACCTTTCACTCCTTACGATTATTCTAAAGCAGAAAATATCCTCAAATCAAGTAAAATTATTAATTTTTTTGAAATAATTAATTAAGCTAAAATGTTATTATTAACCAATGAATACTTTGTAGCTCCTGCAAAAAGAATGTCCATTTCGGAAAAAAGTGGTCGTTCGTCATCCGTAAGTATTGTCTTATAAATTCTTTTTTCTTCAAAACACCTAAAATGACATGTACAGTAAAAGTAATGTAAGGCAGAAGTGGATGGGAAAATAGATAAGTTTTCCACAGACTTAAAGGTTCCATCTTGCATGATTGTTTGCGGCTCTTTGTCCTTCTAAAAACAGAGGAAGGTGCTAGACAGGACTTTTGCATCAGGAACTGCCGAGCATGGAGTGTGGCCCCGCACAATTGGTAGGTTGCAAGCTTGCATCAATTATTTAAGATATTGCAGTAACTTTTGGCATTTATTGTTGCTTCAAGTGGCAAAAACAGAAGATTTACCCTATCAAACTCAATGAATGAAACATTCTTTTCTGAAAAGCTCTGAGACAGAAAAAAGTGCCTTCACTTGGTCTAAAATTTGAATTGACTATATTATGACAATCATCACATTTTCGACATGCTGGTCTAAGAATGCGATTGCTGCTGACATCTGTTTATTTTGTATGTTTGCATTCCTAACGCAAACAAAAAAAATTTAATAAAACTATAAGAGGCATCATAAAGTTAAGATTTAAGATACTGGTCAAGATTGATAGAGAGAAAGCATGCTGATGTGCATCTGCATTAGTAACTTTTCACATCAATGCATGATGGAAAGTACTCATCAAGATACTCATACTTGCAAGTTTTGCAAAGTGTTTTTCTTGAAAATGTTTGAGAAGCATGTTTCCCCTTTTGCTCTGTGAAGATTCACACAAACATTATTATTAAAATCCATTGTTGTATCTGGCAACAACCACTCCAATATTTTGTTAGTACTAGATGTGCTTGCAGAAGAGAAAAACCATATTTGGTGGCATGGAACTGAATTCTTTTTTTCATAATAATTGTATCAGTTGATGGACCACTTTCCTCATATCGCAACAATAAGACATATTAATCCACGTATTATTGAAAAATGTTTTGCTGGTTTGGTGCACATTATGCAAGTTTTCTATTATTTTTGGGCATAAAAGGAGTTGCAAAATGTTCTTCACAATTCTTTGACAGGTGAACAGTCACAGCATCCACTTTGATCATGCAAGACAGCTGGGTTGGGAACAGTACATATTTTTATGACTACAAAAATCAAATGAGACTGGCAAGTTCATCTTTTTCAAAGTTCAGTGTTCCAAAGTTACATAATATTCTGAATAATGCTGAATCATATTGTTGGGTGTTGGTTTATTTTTCCTTCCTTACCCAAAGCAAATAACTGAAGGGTTAGGTAAAGGGATCAGGATCTCAACCAGATGACTTCAAACCAGTGCAGTTCATACAGCAAAATAGTCTCTCTCTCTCAGCCACTGTTTCTTTGATCACGGTTGGTCCCGGAGGCTTGATGTTGTCCTGTAAACCAATCCCTCTATTTGACACACGCTTCTGTGATGACAACTAGAGGGTTGTTCTCAGGCTGTCATTGAATTGATTCATCAGTGTCCTTTCCACTTCAGCACCCACAAAAAATGGACAGCTGTATATGATGTCCTGCAAAGACAAATTCTTTAAGCATGGTGCTCAGGAAAGAAACTTCAACACTAGTTGAATTGCCTTTCCATCTGATTGATGTCACACACTGTTGAATATTTTGACAGCAACATTACATGGAGAGACATTTGCATCCAAAGAAAAGTCCAACTGGAAATGCCAAACGTGCTTTGTATGTTTCCCTCCCCTTTTAATTGAAGAAAGCTTGCTTCTGCTTGTCCATTGGACTGTGGATGATAGGGTGGAGAGATGTGCTTGATTCTGTGTTGGTTACAGAATCTTTTTGAATTTAGTAGTTTTTGTCTTTGGAACACCTCATGAATGTGTTGGTGATGATCATCCACAATGTATTGCAATTTGAGAGTTTCTAACCAATGCTTCTCAAGCAATCAGCATGATACTCAACTATTTCCAGAAATAGTTGAGTTGGGAAGTGTCATTGAGACCACTTTAGGATCTTATCTACTGTGTGTAGACTACTCTGTCAAATGGGATGTTCCCAAGTACCTGAGTCGAGTCCACATAAGTCAACAGGACACATTTCACTTCCTCTTGGGGTGTTATCTGATATGACGACTAAAACGAAGTTGAAGAAAAACACATTGCATGTACTGTATATAGCACTACTGTATCTCTGACCATTTATTACTGACACTAAAGTTGGTTCTACTCCAAGTACCTCAATAATTTCATCGCTTTTTGTTTCAGTATCAGCCCTGAAACAGGAAGATTTGATGAACAAATTTGATGAACAAATTTGCTTTAGCCAACATACCAGGACATCTTTGTATGCTTTGTATGGCGACTTTGTCTGGCATTCTTGAGACAGCCACAACGAAGATCCAGAAAAAGTTTCGTCTTTTTCTTCAGAATTCCCACTAATGTTGTTCTGGGAAGGTTTTTTGTTTTGCAAATTCAGATACAAGTTTGTATGTTTCAGGCAGAAAGGTGAGAAAATGCAAAATTGGATTCTGCTATGTGGTGTGAGTCAATTTATACAGTGTTGATGAGTTTAAAAACTCTGGTTTACTCGACACCATATAACATTAATGTCTATGTAAGTCGGGCCGGGACCACAGAAAAGTGTCTACTTATGCGGACTTGACTGTAATTCAAAGTATGTTAAAATATGAAAATAATCACACAATACATATTTATATTTTAGAAAATACAAGGAAAGTGACACTTCCACAGCAAAGTATCTATAATATGTTCAGGAAAAAGTCCACTGCCAAGTGGCATTGCACTTTTGGCATTTGAGTCTCATATTTGGACCAATCAGGTATGACTGCAAATGTGCACTGCCAGTCAGAATTATTCAAAATCTTGAAAATGCCTTCTGGTTGATGAAAGCAAGGATCGAGGATAATGGAAATCCTGTTCTACCTTGACGGTTGCTCCAAAATTAACATCAATCCAGCCAGATCGTACGACGTCTTTCTGTCGGGGAAATCAGTAAAGAATAAACATTGATGCTTTCTTGACTACATAGAATATTGAGGAGGTTGACAGAGACTATGTTTTGCCTTGGGTTTCTTGCTGCAAAAGTTTAAAATGTCAGAAGTCATACAAGGAGCACCAACTTCTCTTCCAAGTAATGAAAGTATCTTTTAGTGCTGAAGCCAGAACCAATTCATGACCAAGTTCCTCTTCAACTGAATGTAGGAGTCAACTAATGTACTGTAATTAAAATTAATGTTTTATTACAAATTTCTATAGACTACTATATGTGAAAAAAATGATAAATACAGGATAGCTTCCATAACAAAAATATTTGAGTCATGTAAAGCAACCAGATTATATGCATTCATGCATGCGCTTTACAGAGCACCTACCTCACACAGTTTAGCTCTTGAATGCTACACACCAAAATATTGTACAGTCGACCCCCCTATAACACGGTAGATACGTTCCAGCTTGCAGGAAACCAGCCAATCACAGCCCACGGCTGTTTGAAAGGTTTCTTCCATAAAATTAATCGATTCTAATTTGACTCAACAATTCCAAAATACGTATAATTTTTTGGGAATAATCCATATAAACTTACCGAGTGTGCACAGTTCGACTACGCCGTTGCTTAAGCTTGTTTTCATCGCGGAGATTGTCACCAGATGGCGCTCGCATGCTTCCTGATAAATTATTTTTGTGCAAAAAATTCTCTGAACTTTAGAGACGTTAAATAATAAATGGGTTTTGCTAGGTCCGCTGCTCGTTTAAACTCAACAGTTGTGCAATCCTGTCGCGACACGAGTCGGCGATGACGTTTTACCAAATTATAGGAGTTTTTTTTTAGCATGTTTGTATGGATACTGTTGCAATTTTTTCGTCGTGATATAGGAATCCGGACTATAGGAACCCGTGTTATAGGGGGGGTCTACTGTATAACGCTTCTGATGATTCTATCCAGGGCAGCACAGCTTCCTTATCATCAAATGTCACTGCACACCACTGTTCAAGATAAAAGAATTGCAGATCACTAGGATCATTCCTAGTGATCTGCAATCTTTTCTTGCTGAGAAGTTGATGGAGTCTGTTAGTTTTGTTGTAATTGAAGTCCATAATGCATTTTGACATGCAATATTTGTTATACTTACCGAAGAGGGACACAGTTTAGTCATAAGAAATTTGATCTCCTCCTGGTCAGTCATCTTTGGTGCCACACAGTCCAAGACAAACTTGAAATGACTTAGCTCTAAATTTGATGAATGAATGTCTTTTCTGATGGGTTGGAATTCTAGCGACAAAAAGTGTATGTGTCAGGTTACTATTAAGGACTATTGTATTTGTCTAAGTTAAATAAATAATAGAGTAAAGATTACAACTGTTCTGACCTATTTGACCAACAGGAGCAAGAAGAAGGAGGTCAAAGACTCCAAACTCAGGGCAAAAGAAAAAGCCCTAAAGCCTGTTACCCATCTCTCACTCTGATGTTGCCAGTCCGAAGCCCCAGTTACTTTTCTTGCATACCCAAACTAGTCTCAATGCAAAATAGACAAAGTACCCAATTAATGTTTTTGTGTGTTAGGGCAAGTCTGTGACTGCAACCATTCGGAAGTACAAACAGTTTACATGGTCAAAAGTGTTATATCTTGTGTAGCATTTTGGATATACATTTCAGCAAATATATTTCAACTGTAAACCTTTTATTGGGAAAATTGATACCTCCTTGTTAATTTGTTTGATGGTATGTATTTTGCCAACCCCATTCTCGCAGTTCAAGAGGAAAAGTATTTTGTAAATACTTTGTTTACAATCTCCCTTATGTAATGCCACCCATGTAATTATGCCTCTATGTTTCTACATATACTGACTTTCTAGTACATGCAATCAAGAAGTTTATGGGTTGCTGATTTTGTGTGTATATTAATGTTAAATAGTCTGAAATACACGCTGAGCTATACAGTATGCAAAAGCAGCATCTCTGCACCAACAGAGAGAGAAAATGGCATGTTGCTTTTGCATTTGATCTGTTTGAGATAATAATTTCAACTTTTAAATTTTCAGACTTCAAAACCAAGGAAGAAGAAAATGAAAAAGCAGAAGACAATATTCGCCTCTCAGTCTACTTCGGCCAGAAGTTGGCCAAAGAAATAGTTTCCTGTATAGACTTAAAGTTTTTATTTATTAATTCTATTTTGTATTATAATGGCCAAAATTTTAAATATAAATTTTTGCTTAATTGTGGTTTCCAGTTTAATGATAAACACAAAAATTTCTGTTCTAAAATTGCATCTACCAATACCACATTATTTCTCTAACATTTAAGTTTAAATTTTCTAGCAATGGCAATAATACATTTTTTAGAAACTGCAGTTATCTACGACTCATCAAAGCGCCTCAAAAATAGTATGGTCCAAAATGAAATGTCCATTGGTGAGGTCAAACTCAATGCTAATATTCAATCTTGCCATTTGTCGTCGAGTTACAGTGCTTTGTCTTTTAGCAATGAAGCCATGCAACTGTAAACTAAAGTTATGTCTAGATCGTATATAGCTAGCCATCTCACTCGCAGTTACTTTCATTGGGAAAGGACCAATCATCCAACTTTAATAAGACATGGTTAAAGCATCTTAACCATGTAACTTTTATCTTTGAGCTTCCTCTCACACTATTTAGCATATTGCTTAGTTTTTTTTATTTATGTGCGTTACTGTTATACCATCTGACCATCCATCACATTAGTTGGCATTTATGTGTAATTTAAATTTTTCATTGTTTTGCTTTCACTATCAGTTTGGCACGGAGATCTTTGTACCAATCGACCTAGTAAAGAAATTGGGTTTTCTAATTGTTTGTTGCAGTGCCAGGTGACAAAATGCCACTATTGTAACCAGAAGTGAGGGCTCAATCTAGATATTTCCAAATCGCATTCTGTTTGTCAAAGACTAATCTGCTGCCATTATGCAGATATGTAATTGTCGATGCTTTACACCATACTGAGTATCTTTCTGGGTACTGTGGTTTCAGTCAGTGGGCGAAAAACCACATGGATAAGTAGAAGCCACTTATCTGTAATAAATCCGTAGAGTACAGAGGGCATACACCCTTATTTGACTCGCGTTTAAAAATTGCCCATTGTGAGTCTACCCAGTACCTTACATAGTCATGTGAATATTTTTCAATAAATACATGCTGTGGACATAATTGGATGTTGGATTAGAAGGTGGGACTCTCAGCCTTTCCAATGGTTGTTCTTCCGGGAGCATATTGAAAGCGTCAAAATGGCAACATGCAAGGTTATTAATTGTATGGGTTTGGTTTGGCACGGCACGCTGCCATCAATGGAGAAAGCCACATAGTCAAACAACTGCATTTGCTTCATGCCACCAAGGTCAGCAATGGTGAAATTGAATTAAATATTTGACTGCAATTTATCAAATTTCTATGTACCTAATAAAAAACAAAGATGATCTAAAGTTGGTGAACCACAAGAGAGAAATAAAAGTTTGCATGCCCAAGAGGGCCTATACCCAAGCTACACCTACAGAAGAAATATCTTAGGTCAAAGAAGGAAATGTGCCAGATGCGTGGGTCATGGAAAGAAAGGAGATTGGGGGTTCGACCGGATGGGCACCGAATCCTCCTCGGAAGGCCACCCGACACAAACATCGACACGTAGGTACAACATACATACGTGCTACTGTCAAACCAATGTTTGAAGTGCATGTGATTACAGAAACAAAATTACTTACACCCCATACTAATAGAATATCAACGGTTTTCTCTACAGAATAATCGGCATTAAATACAGTCAGTAATAATTATTTCTGTTTGTACTTTCCGTATACACAAAACCATAAAGATTGGTTGGTTGGCACAAGGGCCACATAGGCCAAGCTGCGCCATGGCAAATGGTCAATTTGTATAATTTAATATATGTATAAAATAACAAGTATATACAACAATGAAAATAAACAAACAACAATATATATGAAAGTTAAAAAAGTAAATAAATAATTAAATCTCTCTATACATACTAGACTTTCTGAAAGTCACTAATAAGTTGTGAAGATTTGGCCTCTGGCCCAAAACCTCTGTCAGACTTGCATTTCCAAAACATTGTCTACAACTTGTCTCAAAGGCAGAGCAATTGCACAGTATGTTTTTAAACTTTGAGAGCAGTTGCAATACTGACATACAGGCTGGTCATCACCCTTCAGAAGATATTGATGAGTCAGTCGAGTATGTCTAATTCTCAAATGAGTAAGAATAACCTCAGCTCTCCTATAATACACTATGTTATGTCTAATTTTCTACTAAAGATTTGATCTCATGTAGTTTATTGTGGACTTGCGCATTCCACAAGTTTTGCCATCTCTTCTAGTTGTTTTTTAATGACCAGCTTCAAGTCACTTCTTTCAATAGGCATTGCATGCTGTGAAATACTTGCTGACTTTGCAGCTGCATCAGCTTTTTCATTTCCTCTTATATCTATATGGCCTGGGACCCAACAAAATTTTACAGAAAAATTACTCTCAGTAAAATGGCAAAATAGTTTATGAATTTTAATCACTATGGAGTGAGAACTAGGTTCACGTGAGATCAAAGCATGAAGTGCACTAACTGAGTCAGTATAAATCACGTTAGACGATGACCTTTTCTGATTACATACATTAAGGCTAGGTAAATAGCCTGCAGTAAAGATGGAAAAATTCAGTGTGATTTCATCCTGCCAGACAAAGGTTGAGCCAATGTAATCATCCGATTTAGATCCATCAATATAAATAGAAATTAAATTCCTGTCATGGTGTTGAATTTCTGCAAAGTGCTGTCTATAGACATAATCTGGAGTGGATTCCTTAGGAAAATGCTTTAAGCTAATGTCGACATTTATCACAGGAGTTGACCGAGGTGATAAACCTCGGTCAACTCCTCGGGCTGTGAAATGTTGCCTGTGTCCAGTTCAATCGAGCTGCTTACATAGAGATTGTAAGCAGCTCGATTGAACTGGACACAGGTACTGGACTCTATTCTTGTGTCGAATGTAGGGACACTACTTGGGCAGGCTGCAAACAATCTTTCCAGCTGAGTATCTCATACTGTACAAACAACTGAAGGTTTAGGCTGAGATGCCTGTTTAAAGTTGTAAAAGAGACAATTATTCCCTCCTGAGGGATAGTGGAGGTTCATGAGCATCAGCGTACAAACTTTGGACAGAAGTTCGAAAAGCACCAGTGCACAAACGCAATATTTGATGGTGGATTGGATCCAGCATCTGAAGAGTAAATTCTCGCCAACGCATCCATACACCATACACAATGCATCCATAGTCCAGCTTAGAGTGGACAAGGGCCCTATAAATGCTGAGAATAAAACACTTGTCTGCTTCCCCAGGATGAGCAGCATTAAAAGGTTCAGAGATTTTAAACATCTAATCTTTAAGTTGCAAAAGTGTGGCAAGAATGTCAGTTTTTGATCAAACAAAAAACCCAAAAACTGCAAAAGTGGATGCACGAGGTCTTCCTTGCGTTAAACGTAAACCATAAAGATATATACTGTAGATTCAATTGTGTGACCTTCATTTGTGTACAATTTAGGCTTGCATAGTTAATACTAGTGATTACTTGTTAAAATTCACAAAAAATCAACTCATTCTAAGGAAACTCAACTATTTTCTGCTTCCGAAACTTTACCCTCTACTCGACCCGACTAACGGTCACGTTTGTCTCTGTATATACTGTTTCGGATATTTGTCTGTTCCTCCGCGTTTTGAGACCATTTGTCTATGATAATGGAGCGTTTGTCTCTGTTGTTCTTAGATTTTGGTCAATGCATCAAATTTTCATAAAAGTTGCAGCCCAAAGAATAAATAATTTATTTAATTTACTAATTTGAGGTGGAGAGCATATATATTAGTGTCTTGTACCTGTACATCATACTTTTCCTATTAGCAATAGAGTCGTGCCGGTCATCTAATTCCTTTCAGAGGAAAATTTTATACAAACTGGAAGTTCGTATATAGTTAATATGTACCTCCTTCCCCTAAGGTTTCCCTATCTGGTATCGTCTTTCATCTAACTCAGTTCGAGATTAAAGGAGGACGGACGACAGTGGGAATTTATAGGTCTACAGTTTTTTCAAATTGCAGCCCAACAACTTTATATAGAAACTGAAAGGTACAAATTAGAACAGAATAGGGGCAAATTTAAAAAATTATTTTTAGTCAATTTTTAAATACCTATGTAAAATATTCCAGAATTAAGAAATTATTTCTTTAAAAAAAACGGAAAAAAGTTAAAACTACGTGCTTAAAATTACTTAAAATAATTGTGATCTGTAAAACAATAAACGATTTAATAAATAAAATAAAGTAAAAACCAGCAAATAAGTAATTGCCTGCACAACTTATTCGGTTTGATAAAATTATATAAATAATAAAATAAAAGGAATAAAATTTGAAAAACAATTTTTTAGGGATGAAATCGAGTGTAAACATTTTATGAAATGATAGGCGAACCACAGACTTTTCTACATTTTTGACAAAGTAAGAATTGTCGATTGACGAAGAGGAGTTCAGATCCGAAATGCATCCAAAACAGACAATTCAAAGTGATTAATTTTACTCTTTTAAAGTATTTTCCTGTGTGATAAGTCCAACATTTGTCAAGTTGGAAAATTTAAGTAGGCCTACAGCAATCGAATAAAAGGACAAGAAGCTCCGAACACATGGTGCGAGTACAACAAAGCCAAAATGCGGGAAATGCGTCAAAGATAATCGAGGAGTTGGATAAATTCGAACACAGACGTCTGGTACCTTATACTTAAGTTAAGAATTTATGTAAACTCAATACATTAATATACCCGCAGTTTTTATCATCAAACACGCGAAACCACCAAGTAAAAAAACTTAGAATTATTATGCAATCCACAATCGTTAAGCATAAAAAGTTCAAAATTAAAGACAAAGCTTAAAAACGTGAAAATTAATTATATTATGTCTTTAATTTAAATCTTCGAAAATCATTTGCCGAGAAAAAAAATTTAATAAATTGGCTAAAAGATTAAATACACCCACTGCGAGTGAACAATTACAGTGGGGGAATATTGTATACTCATTAATAAATCTAATAGCGCTATACGAGATTTTTTTAAAATTCGGTTTAAATTACAATTGTCCAGGGAGGACGAGTAAAAATGAGTTAATAGTGTCTGTAGATTACGCACCATCAA